TGGATTTTGATGTGTGAGGACAACAGCAGATGGACTTTTTCCACTGGAGTATGTAATATAATGGATTACGGACTCAGTATTTTGGCCAGAAGCAATTATTTAAAGTTAAAACACCTTAATAAGGGATTTGTTTCTTACAAACACACAGCTTTTCACTTCACAAGATGTTAATTGATGGACTGGAGTCGTGTGAATAACTTGTGTATTACTGTGATGTTTTTATCAGTTGTTTGGACTCTCATTCTGATTTTCATTACTTCTGACATTTGGACCCCACTGTAATTCCCAGAGACACTTCCAATATAATATTGTGTTTCACAAATGTGATCAACTTTACCATCTGTGAGAATCTCTGGATAAACAGTAATCATTTTAGAGAGAATGGGAAGCGCATGTCTGGATATCTGCCCATCAGACAGCCGAGACTCAAGACTTTTCAGCAAATGGTGGCAAAGGGGCATCACATCTTCTTTATTTCCAGCCTGAGAACAATTAGACGATTAATTCAGTGTTCATGAACAAAACACAAGCTGATTATGAACAGCATGTGACTCACCTGAGTGAGAACAACACTGGCCACATAGCTGAAGATCCTGCTGTCGTGACTGAGATCAGAGCAGAGGCTGTGTACGCTGGGAGGAAAGCTCTCCCGTATAATGGAGGAGCACAGAACCTGCAGTTGCTCTGGACATGATGAAGAACGAAGAACCGTCTGCAGCTTCATCACCAGATCTGATGGGAGCCTGATGGTAATGGAAGTGTTCAATTATACACTTAAAATGCTCCTAAATATATTTTCTGAACTCTTCTGAAGAGTCAGACAAAAGGTTTCATGCCTATGTGCTGTTCAGATGTATTTCACATGAATATGACTCACTCTCTTGCATATTTAGTGGCAGAAACTATCAGATTGAGTCTCTGGAGGGAGTCCACTGTGTCTCCACTAATGTCTTTAGTGTGGAGCAGCTTAAATATGCGCCCGCAAAACCTCTGCAGCTCTTCCTCCTTTATTTCTCTGAAAGGCATATTTGAACGAATTAACAGATTTGTCATTGAGAAGAACTTGTCTAACTCATAGGCTATAACTGACCAGTCATGTGACGAATACAGCTTTTGACAGTAAACATTTTACGTAAAGATACAGTTTTACCTTGCCTGCTTTATTAAACTCTCCGTCGCGGCAGCATACATTTTGAAAATAATGCAATAACATGTCAAAACATAAAACAAGAATCAAAACATTTGCTCCGTCAGCTATGATGTCCTGACAACAAATCACATGACAATTGGTTCCGCTTTTCCGCGCAAGTCGGCCACAAAACAGTGTAACAAACAGGAGGGTAGAATTTATTCATACTGTGGTTGAATATCATATTTAATAATCAGAATATTCTGTGTGTACAAAATAATATGCTGAGAATATTCGTATCTCTCGGTAGATATGTGATTTATGGTTCAGGGGATCCAGGGGATCATTTTTAACTTGCAATTTATTGAACCTCTTCAAGCAACAGCCATATGAAAATTGTTTATAGTAAAAATGGTTCGAGTAGAATGCTAGTTATTCCGAATTGAGCCACAGAAGTAGAATTACACATCCATAGGTAGAATACATCCCACCCTGCAAAAAAGTCATTTCAGGAAGGTACCTTACCACCCCCAACAGCGCTAATTATTATTATATAATTATTTACAGTACACACATACATACATTCATTACTTTAGTATTATGTTTTCTGTCTCAAATGGCTAAAATTACGGTGGCTGAGAAGTGCAGAGCAAATCACAATTCTGAAAACAAAATAACAAATTACAAACGCAAATGCAAGTCTAAAAAGCAAAATAACAATTCAGAAAACACAACAACAATTCAGAAAACATTATAACAAGTCAGAAAACACAATGACAAATTCGAAAACAAAATAACAAGTCAGAAAACACAACGACAAATCCGAAAACAAATTAACAAGTCAGAAAACAACGACAAATCAGACAAACCGGAAGAGGTAGGTATAGTTTGAGACAGCGCCATTGGTTTGGGATTACTCACCGCTGACTGGACGAGACATCTGTCAATCAACGTATACAGGAAGAACCAGCCGAAGAACAGCAGAGTCGTGGTAGAAAGTTCAGAGATGGTATTAAAGTAGCTCAGTTTAAATGTATTGTATGAATTGCCCTTACTCTGGAATAAAAAATACGGGGTGTCTATTTACATTTAGTTAAAAGTAGTTGTAAACCATCAGCTTCAGTGGCGCAGATGGATAAGTGCCTGACTTTGGTTTGTTGACGCGGTCGACCCGGGTTCGATTCCACCTTTTACCGAACTTTTTTTTCTCCCTTTTGTGGGATGTCTGAATGTCTGAATATTCATTCATTTATGGTTACATACATCTATGGCTAAACTATAAGACTAAAAATGGGGGTTTGGTCCCCTTGAGAAAGATCAGTGTTCATAAGAAACAGCCATTAGCTTGTAAAATCCAAATTCACCTTATATACCAAATAACATCTGCATACTTATTACATTACAACAAGCAATAATCAACCTGTAAATCACTTCAAAGTATACTTTAAAGCAAAAAAGTGTTTTTAATAGAATCAATATAAATATACTCCAATTCCCCAATAATTATACAGTGCACTAATATATGAAGAAAGTTTTTTTAACAGTAGTTTTTTCAAAAAAGAAAAAAAAATCTAGTTCTATATTTACCTACCACCTTCTCTACAAAAAATATAGAAATACACTAAACATATAACAAACATTCAACTAAATTAATGAAGGACTAACTACAATAAAAACATCATAATCCTATAGCATTGCAGTGTTAATGCACAGTACTTTCTTAACAGTAAAACATATATCAGATTTAAATGTAAAGAAATAAAGTTTTATGTGCCAAACTAATGAAATAAAATAAAATAAAATAAAAAGGCACTGTTCTGACTAAATTAATAAAGCCAGTCTCGTGATCAGTTACAAGATCTTTCATTCATTCAGTAAAATCCTTGTCATTCATTTGAAATATTTTAACAAGATTTATAATACCTACACCAGCAACGAGGCAATTTATTTGGTAACACTTTACAATAAGGTTCATTAGTTAACTACTTTAGTTTACACGAACTAAGAATGAACAATACTTCTACAGCATTTATTAATCTTAATGTTAATTTCAACATTAATGCGCATTATTGCAAAATTACATATTGTGCCTTTAACTAATGTTAACAAGCACAACTTTTGATTTTAATAACTTTTGATTTTAATAATGCGCATTATTAAAATCAAAAGTTGTGCTTGTTAACATTAGTTAAAGGCACAATATGTAATTTTCGCTGCTAGAGGGCGTGAACAATGAATGACTGTATTTTCATTAACTAACATTAACAAAGATTAATAAATGTACTGTTCATGGTTCATTCATGTTAGATAATACATTAATAACGGAACCTTATTGTAAAGTGTTAACATTTATTTTTATACAGACTCCACTCATGCTGTAAAAATCAAAGCTGTAATTAGCCAATAGCAAGCTATAAATTCATACCTACTGTTCTTAAAGTCAGAGATCTTCATTACATGTGCAAGCAGGCTGCAGTTGAAACTTTGTAGTTCAAACTTTTTAATAGTTTGCTGTTAACATTCCAGCATATTCAAGAGTTCTGCTCAGGCAAAGACAGGACAGTTGCACAGTTTTGGTGCACAGGGTTATAAAGAGTGTTAATACAATACAAATTGGAAGCAAATTGAGAAAAAATTGAGAAACAGAATCAAGCTAGGTACCCTGCATACAATACAGACAGTAAGATTTGAACGTTTGAAAATAAATTACATGAATGATAAAAGAAACAAAATCATGGTGAAGGGGCAGACATTCAAAGCAATGCTTAAATCTTCATCCATGTGGAATCAAAACAGAAAATGCCATTATCACTGATTCAAGATTAGCCAGTGAAGTATTTTTATTTGTTCCAGATACACCATTGCATAAAATGCATGGACAGAAGAAAAGTCCTCATACAATTTGTGTAGTTGTAGTTGAGTCAAAAGAGAAAGAAAAACCTACATCAGTTTAAATTAGAAATGTTTAGTGTATACACACTTGCATATGCTAATATGCACAACACAAGAAGCACAAAAAGAAATGATAAAAAAATCTTTGTGATAAAAATACTCCATGGTTATATATGCGTACAGACACTGTGACAGATTGTGAAAAAATTATGAAAAAACATTTAAGCAGTGACAGCTAATTCTGTACGATAAGTGTGTTAACAATGACAGACAATGTTTGTTTCACCAATGTACTGGTTATTCCATAATGATCTAAAAGGAGAGGGGGAAAAAACATGTACATATGGATTGGTTTCATTTTAAGGCAAATCAAAATTTTGTTCTTGGTTTTTAAATAAAATTGTACTTCAAATGGAATAGTGGTTCTCTCATTTATTGTGAAGCCCATGTGAATACATGAAACAAAGAGCCATATCCAATCAGACTAATTAAATCAATCTTTATGGTTTTGCACTGATATCTGCATCGTTTGAATCCAAATGTTCTTTCAAAGCATTTAAAGGAACAGTTGAATCAAAAATGAATATTTGGTGAAAATGTACTCACCCTCAGCCAGGCCATCCAAGATTTCTTCTTCTTGGTTTGTTTCTTCATCGGAACAGATTTGGAGGAATTTAGCATTATATCACTTGCTGACTTTCTCCAGAGAAAGCAATATAATCGATAGAGGACTATATAATGGATAGCCCGAGAAGAAACAGTCTGAAGTTAAAAACGTCTTGTTAAAAACAAGACATCAGTTGATGGACTGGAGTGGTGTGGATTACTTGTGGATTATTGTGATGTTTTTATCAGCTATTTGAACTCTCATTCTGACGGCACCCATTCACTGCAGAGGATCCATTGGTGAGAAAGTGATGCAGTGCTAAATTTCTCCAAATCTGTTCAGATGAAGAAACACACTCATCTACATCTTGGATGGCCTAAGAGTCTGTAAATTTTCAGTAAATTTTAGTTGGGTGAACTATTCCTTTAAATTCACCAAAAGACTTTTCTGTTTACAGACAGATTCCTCTTGATTTATACATTAGTCTACTGAGCTATAAGAAGTTCTGCATCAATAAAAGCTTGCAAATGATGCAAAACCTCACTGGTCAAAAAAATAAAGAACATCTAGATTTCATTTCCTGTGTACTTTTATCATATTGCTTAGTCAATTCCAGTCACAATATGATTCATCATCTCACCTTTTCTTCTAAGGTTCTAGACATTGTTACACAGGCAGGATGCTGTTGTTCATTTTTTTTGATGTTGTTGTCTTTAAGTAGTACATCACTACTATCATTTATTTTATTTAGTCCTGAAAGAAGTGGAGCACTAAGGCACTAATGTTGAGGATATGCATTTGGTCTGTTAAGATTTCGATTTAAAAGGAACACTGTACGGCTGTCACTGTACAACTACACTAATACAAAGAAGCTATCGGTAGCTCACTTTACTCCACATTTGTGGTGTGTATAATTTGCAACATACAAAGCGGTTACTGAACTGAATCCTGTTAGTGATTGTCTTGAAAACACATTTGAATAATTCTAACAATATATATTTACTCTTCTCTTAGTAAAACTAGAAAGTCTCAGTAAAAGGCTGACTTTGTGTATATTACTAAGAAATAAGTTTCTTGAAAATACTGAACATTCATTTAGTGGCTTCTGTGATTAAGTGATCACAGAACGTCAGTGAAGAAACAGCCTCTGCAACAATCAATATGAACAGTTACATTCCTAGGTCTGGAAAAGCATTTGGTTGACATCAGCAACGTATCATGTGCTTGCATTCATCCACTGATGCAATCGGGATTATGATGCTTAAGATATTTAGGGAGCAGAATTTTGGCCAAGTGCTAATCGGGATGGACAGATACGACTGAGCTACTTTCCTTTTTTAACACAAAACATCACAAATGTATCTACATACACATTCTAATGGTTTAATATATTGTTTAGGTCAAAAGTGGGTGCCATGAGTCAAAACAAATAAACAAACAAATGGTACTTACATTCATTGAGTTCTTTTTAATTGTTGTGCTAAACATAGACCAATTAAGAAATTAGAATATTTCTAGACATTTCTCTTTGTAGTAAGCAAGAAAGGTAAGAATCCTCCACAGAAAAATATATTGTACACTATAATAATGTAGGTTAAAGAACTCCAGCTAGAAAAGGCCTCTATTATATCTATTCATTTCTGCTTTGAGTTGTAACAATCTTATTTCATTAAAGATAGCCTTTTTTCTTTTAAACAGAGAGATAAATAAATCCTCACAAAGGCCACACAGGTAACTGCAGAGACGCACAGCTTCCCGTGACCCTTTTTATATACTGCTTCATTCAGAGACACTCCTGGTCTCAGACTGTAATAGCTGCTGCATAGGTATTGGTCCCACCCCATCCCGAAAAGAAGAACTCTCTCAGCTGTACCTTGTGAGGAACTACCTGGGCGCACATGCCTAGCTGGTGTCTTTAAGCACATGCACCTCTCTTCATACTTCTTTCAAACATTCTTACAAGATTAAAAACCCCTACAAAATTAAAACTGTGAGCATTGAATTTTAATGCTGCCAGATGTAGCTCAATGAATTTACCCCCATGAAACAACAACCTCTTCTTACAGAGACATTCGATCAGTTACCTGTGCCGTGCGTTTACAAAACTTTGAAGTTCTTGTTTTAAAGAAAACCAAACACGTTTCCCTCAATATGTTTAACGACATTGCGAGACGTGCTTTAAAGATCGGTCAACGGCTCACTCGCTCACTCACTCATTCATTCGCTGGCCTCTTGGTTCATTGCAACAATTACAGGCTGAGGGACCGGAGCGACACTGTCCTCCTCCATTTTGGGCCGTTTGGGCTCGGGCTCGTCGGGTTCCATGCTGGAGGGCCTGTTGACCAGCACAGGTGGGGATGTTGAAGCCTGCGCAGCCAAGATCTGAAGAGGACTGGTAAGAGCTGAGGGCAAAGAGATGACAACACAAAGAAATTGGTTACAGATCATTGACAAGTAACAGAAAAATGTAGTCTGGTTTAAAACAAACGTACACTTTGTTTTCATGCTGGCTTTGTATTCGTGATTGTCAACACTTTTGTATCATTTCCAATAAATAAATAAATAAAATGTATAACTAAGAAGCTAAAAGTAATAATCATTCATCAATATCAGTATTTATTCATTCTTTTTTAATGCCATGTCAGAATCAGAACAAAGTATATAACAAAAATCATGCTATTAACAAAAAACCATACAAGACATTTAAAATTATACAATGCATTCAGGTGATACTTTTTTAAATACATCAGTTAAACATCTTGAGTAGAAACCGTACAGTCCACAGGAATATGTTTAACAGTCAGATGAGTTTCATAAATATCAGTAAGTTTTGGGGAAGTGGCACCACATGACATTTTACAACCTGAACTAATCTTGCCTGGTCATAAAAAGGTCAAATTATCTGATATTTTAAAAGACTTACAGACACAGTCATGAGGGTCTGCAGGAATCCTATAATATTAAGTTTTAGTTTTTTTTCCCCTTCATGTTGATTACATCATGACTGTGTTATTTTAGCATCACTAACATCATAGCATCATAACGGTTATAGGTTATTTCATATTTTGAATTTGATTTGATTTTTATATTTTCTGTTTTCATTTTAATTTGATAGTAATTTCATTTTGTGTTTTATTTAGTTTGATTTTATTTGGTGTTATTTTAGTATCATTGATACACTGTTATAGTTTTTTTCAAATTCTGATTCTATATTCTCCATTTTCATTTTAAATTTATTTAGTTAGTTTTAGTTTATTTAGTTTTTAACTAAAACTAAATGAAAATGAAAAATGCTGCCTTGGCAACTAACTGAAATAAAATAAGTTAAAGTTTTTTATTTTATTTCAGTTAATGTTTATTTAATTTGAATGAAAATTACATGGTTTTAGGTTTAGTTTTAGTGGCAGATTTTTAAATAAGCAGCTTTGTCTTTAACTACTTTTTAAAAACTTTTTTTTCAAGAATTTCAAAACATTAAAAAAAAAAAAGAATTTGGGAAAAATTTCACAAAATGAATCAAACTCATGATAGAAAGGTTGTATCAAATCATTGCATGCATGAATTGCATTTCTATGTATTTTTCAGTGAATTAATAGATCTGGACAAAAAAGTGTCACGATCTTTACATTTAAAGCAAGTTAGAAAATAATCATGCACTGTAAATTTCAAATGTACAGACTTCAGAACAATGCACACATACCGTAAGCACTGGTGACAGGAAGAGCATGTTTGCCATTCTGAGCAATGGTCTGCACAGGAAGCTGGTGAATGCCGCTCTGCTGGACAACAGTGTAGCTCTGCTGCCCCCTATTGGCCGAGCTTATGTGACTCCCTACAGCCTGAATCACTCTACTGCCAACCACAGGCATCTCCTCCACTGCACCTACACAGACCATAGACAGACTGTTAAGGCCTGTTCACAGAGAGTGCAAATTTTAAAAACTTGGTATCCATGTAGATTTTGCGAAAAATTTCTCTGCAATCAAAAAGAAGAAATGGGAAGTTGTACCTCTTTGATCTCCAGGTCCCTCTCCAGAGCCTGATGAGGTGGTGTTAGCCAGGATGTAGCCATTGGGGGAGCTGGTCGAGGTGGTCAATACACGGACCATGGTGACAGCTGGTGCCTGCTGCACCACATGGATGGCCTGACCAGAGGCCTGGGAGGAGCTAATGATGGAGGCCGGCATGTAAGCCACAGGCTTGGGTAACACGGCTGAGGACTGAGGTGGTACAGCCATGATTACAGGCTGAGCGCTCACTGGAGAGCCTGAGAGACAAGAGGAATCATAGAGAGTCCGAGAAAAATATATTTAGGGCTTGAGAAGTGACTTTGAACTAGTAGCTTGCTAAGATAGCATAGATATAAAAAGTAGTTAGCGACACCATAAGTTATAACAAAACACAAAAAACTAAATAAAACAAACAAATAAAACAAAATGAACCCAAATGAAAAACAAAACAAAACAAAATACAAAACCATACCATAACAAATCAAACCAAAACAAAAAACAAAACAGGCATAAAACAATGAGGTTCAATTACACAAGTACATTACTCTTAAACAACGCAAAAAAATAATAATACATTTCACCCGTATGCAACTAAAAAAAAAATTTTTTTTTAATAAATAAAATGGTAATACAGTGCAAAAAAATACACAAAATGCTATACAGGAACTTCTGGGAAAACTTCCTGGAAAAGTGATGACAACTAATTTCAACCAGTTTATTGAAACTAACCAAATGAAGGATTCAAAGAACTTGTAAGGTTGTGTGCAATACAATGTGACATTTTTAATTAACTCAAAATAATTCAAAATTAATCATTAATAACAGATTTTACATCTACTATAAGTATTTCCATTCTTACCCGGATACAAACAGTACACTCACGTTAAGCCATATATAATATATAGCAAATCTCATCTGCTTGATTGTCAACTGCTATATTAATGCCCAGCGATACATTAATATTGGATATATAGTATATCCTACTTTACCTGCATACATACAGCATACTCATGTAAAGCAATATATAGTGTATAGCATATCTCAGCTGTGTGACTGTTTATATCAATCACAAAATATAAAGTTAGCTTAGTAGGGCGATATATAATATATAATATACAGCAAATCAAAACTACTGGATTGTTTATGTCATCACAAAATGTGAACTTCATATTATTGTTCTAACCTGCTAAATGTGGCTATAAGGCATGAAGCTGTTAAGATATTATAAACATTAACATCATGATTTTGTGTAAAGCCTCTTTAACGATTTGTATTGTGAAAAGTGCTATACAAATAAATTTGACTTGACATTTAGTCAAGCTACAAAAACACTGAAAGACAACAGCTGAAAAACTATACTATACTGAAAAACATACTACTGAAAAAATGTAGGTAAGTTAGTATTGTTTCTGTTTGGAGACTTTATATCCAAACACTGCTAGTCACGCACACTGCTGTGCAGTCAGTCAGTACTGCTGTGCTATAAAAGGAAACGCGCTCACCTGGTGCACTCTGGGAGTATCGGTACTCGGGCACAGAAGCAAGCTTAGAACCAAAGTCATGCTCATGAGACATTGGTGATCCTTCGCGTGACAGACACTCAGGGGTCTGGAGGCCACTCGAGTGTGGAGAGAAGAGGCTGGAGTGGGTGGGAGATGCTGGAGCACTCCTGAAACCAACATAATGATCTGTCAGTCACACGCCACACAGAAACTCTCACACACACTGTGAATGCTACACATACTTGTTCAGATGTTACTCGCCAAGCAGGGTCCAAAAATAACTTTTTGCCTCACCTGCCTAAAGTTGGACAATTTGAATGGAAACATTTTCCAATGTTAAACTTTTAACAACTTTAAGAAATGAGTGTGAATTTTTTTGAGGGAGAAGCTTTCAAAACACTGCTCTTTTTGTTTGAGCAGTGTGAGTTTTGGGGTGACACTAGCAAATAATGGTTTGGGAATCCTGTTTGGAAACAATCAATATAGACACAATTCTGTTTGGTGCCAACAGGGGTGCAGAAATGGGACACTTTATTGCCTCTAAATAGGTGGCAACTCATTAGCCAATTTTAGATGGGGGTGTCTTACATTAACTGCCATGACATTACATTACTATGGTAACACTAAAACTTAAATTGACACTGATATAGTTTTCTTGACACTGACAGAGTTAGTTGATCCTAAGATAAATGAATTATTAATCTGTGAATGTCTTGTAGGATCCCATCAGCCAGTCTCCTAGTGGAGTGGTACCTCCTACTAAAATACTAAAACACTGCAATTTTCAATGTTATATTAGGTGTAGTGGATAAAACGATAACGATAATTATCGCAATTTAATTTTCCTCGATAAAATGATAAGAGTTGGATAAATGTTCGATATAATGTTTATGTGCTATAAGCAGAATGAAACAGTGTGACTCATTTGAATCGCTCAACGGAGCATTTATCTGCTCGGCTCAAAGTTCAAAGGCAGCGCAGCGCGAGCTCACTAGAGCAGATGCGTTTACTCACTGATGAGTCTCAGTCACATGACACTAAACAGCGCTGTGAGATCCAGTGAGAAGCGCTTGAATTCAGTGACAAACCCAAATGACTCTGTGATTTAAACTAGTTTAAAGTCCCCATTAAATCAAAATTTTATTTTTTTGGGTGTTAGTATCAATATGTTAGTCTTAAGGTTATCTATAAGGCAGTGTGTTCCAAAACAGTGACAAAATTCGCATTTAGAAGATATAAGCATTCAAAGCTTTCAGTTCGTCACTTCCGCCAAAACGGCTCAACGATTTTTTTGACGTCACATCGTACTTCAGCTTCTCATCAAACTTTCTGTCCAATCAAATGCTCTCTAGAATCCGAAGCGCCCGCCCCCTACACTATAAAATAGACGCTGAAGCCGCGGCTGAAATCGGTCACTTGTCCACAGAATTAGTATTTTCTGTACAGTGAATGGCACGTAGTGCACTATATAGGGGACAGGGAACGATTCAAACAGTGTAAATATGCTTTCCATTGAGGAAAAAAATAAGTCTGGTTTCGCGCTGTGTCACGCTAACCACCGCACCGCACACACACTCTGCTCCGGTCCAGAGACACGATAGCACGGAGCGGATCACATGCGCGAGTCGGCGCAGACCACAAAATGTATCGGAGCTATTTGAATTCTACACAGAATGCTATATTTTATAGCAATATGAATGAGATTGTGGCTGGCATACCCTGTCAAATGCGGCTTTACGGAGCTCAACGGCTCTGAACGGCTCTAGCCCAAGCTGTGATATAAACGAACACTATTGGCTATTTTAAAAAGGGGCGGGGCTGCTTGATATGTCCCGCCCTGTCTTCCTGTTTCAGTTAAAATGATGTCAACACAGAGTAACGCTGCCTGTTTCTAAGCATTTCAGGGGACCTTTAAAGCCAGATGAAACAGCGCTGACAAACAGCAGAAACACTGTGCACTACGATACAGTCAGAAAGCTTTTCAATCTACAAATTGCCATCAGTTACCGTACATTTACTGTAGTTACACTAACCGCACCATGGTATTGTGCCAGAAATGTGGGATATTCATACTGAATTCTATTATATTATTAATGTAAACATGCATTAAATGTATTAAAGGAGTAATGGAATATAATTACAATATTTTTTGTGATTAAGCTATAGCATTTGTGCATTTATACTAAATGTATTTAGACTACTGTTTTTCATACAAATACCTAGAAACCATATAGTTACATTTTTACCATGGGATTATATGTGTGGTTTTAACTGTGGTTATCATGATCTAAATGTATGCTACTATGGAAGACCAATGGTTCATTTGAATAAAACTCAAACAGTCAGAATAAAAATGAGGTTATATTTTTTACAGATGTTACTGTTTTTGATAAAGAACATAAATTTACATCTGCATCCTTACTCAAGCTACTACTAGCTACTGTCAAATGTGCATAAGAGACAAACATTTTTATATTATTAATATAATAATATTAATATCCTGTAATTGCAGGCTGCACTGCTAACTGTGCTGAAGATATGCATCATCAAAGTCAGACAAAACAAACCTTTTTCATGATTTTCATTAGAACATGCAGAAACTACGAAAAAAAATGTTCTATTAAGATATTTATTTTATTAAGGAAAAATGACTGGAAAAGTGTAACATAAAACAAAGTGTTTGTCATGTTCTGACCATAAAGAGTAGTTTGAAACTACAATTAATGGTCTGCTTTATACAACTTCCACTTAGAAGCAAAAATCTGATTTAAACTTGAAAGAAATAAAGATCTGAAATGTATCGTGATAATTATCGATATCGACTAATATGAAATTTTTTTATTGTGATCATTTTTTTGCCCATATCGCCCAGCCCTATTTTAAATCATGCAGTACAATCAATTCTGGACCCAAGTTTAATGCAAGATTATACAGAGTGTTAAAGGCAGAGAGCACAAGGATGACTGTGTGACTGATGCTGCTTTACCAAATGACTCCTTAACGAACAAATGAAACGAATCAAATACAAAGAGGTGACAGACTTACTTTGTTCTGCCCAGTGAAGAAACAGACAGAAGGGGAATAAAAAGGGAAACAGAATAGGCTAAGCAGGCTTCTATTACATCAGACAGTGTGAGTGTTTTAAGGGGACGGTGGGTGCATGCAGAGTAAAAGCGGGGGTCTAAATCATCTCACCTTGAGGACAGCGGGCCGAAGGGTGTGCGGAAGCAGGACACTCCTCTCTGCCGGCGCTTTCTAAAGGCCTGCTCCACCAACTTGGACTCCGATGAGGGGTCCACACGCCAGAACGAACCTTTGCCTGGCTCTTCCTGTGAGCGCGGCACTTTAATAAAGTAGCGGTTCAGAGACAGGTTGTGTCTAATGGAGTTCTGGAGCGAAATGAGATTTATAATTGAGATTTATAATTGAGACCAAATTAGCACACAAACATGACAGAAGAACAGACAACAATTTTCGCAAATAAACTGACCTGCCAGCCTTTGTCGGCCGTCCTGTAGTAGGGATAATGCTTGGTGATGTGAGCGTAGATGCCACTTAGTGTTAGCTGTCTGTCCGGTGCAGACGAGATGGCCTGGACTATCAGCTGAGCGTACGAGTATGGTGGTTTGGACTCATCCTGAAGGAATAGCGGACAGTGAATGTTCGGAACAAACACACTGATATCGACACTGACATGCATTAGGATGCTGGAGGCTCTTACCTTAGGACTGTCTCCTCCTGTGGCTTCAGCGCGCTGTTCTGACACAGCTTTGGCTGCGAACTCTGCTGCCAGCTGGAGATCTGAGGTGATGTTGTGCCCGTAGCGGTATCCCGAGGAACCTGCACCCCGAGGGCTCGCTGGGCAGGAATTGGGAACGCTGGGTGGAGAAAAGATGAGCAGAAAGGTGTGAGGTCATCATCTATAACAGTCCAAGAAGATCAGAGATTAAAGGAATATGCCTGATTATTATTATATTCCAGTTAAATGTTAAGGTTTAAAGGCAATCGTTAGTGCTCACGAAGGCTGCATTTAATTGATTAAAAAAACCTGTAAAACAGTACTATTATTGCAATTTAAATAACTGTTTTATATTTTCATATATTTTAAGATGTAATCTATTCCTTTAATTGCAAAGCTGAATTTTCAGCATCATTACTCCAGTCTTCAGAGTCACATGATCCTTCAGAAATCATTCTAATATGCTGATGTACTGCTCAAGAAACATTTCTTATTGTTATCAATATTGGACTACAATTGTGCTGCTTAATTATTTTGGCGAAAACAGTGACACTTTTTTTTCGGGATCCTTTGATGAACAGAAAGTTCCAAAGACCAGCATTTGAAATATAAATATTTTGTAACATTATAAATGTCTTCACTGTCACTTTCGATGAATTTAATGCATTCTTGCTACATAAAGGTATTAATTTCTTTCAAAAGAAAAAACAAAACTTTTGAATGATAGTGTACAACCAAAAAAAAAAAAAGTACTTATGTAAACATGTCACGACCAGCAGAGAAAGTAAACCTGGTTATTATCACTAAGCCAATAGGTAATTTTCATGTTGTGGCCAATATTGCAAATCTTGACCCTTTTTTAGACTACTAAACATCCAATATCGACCAATAAATAGTCAATATCAACTAGAAAAAACTTAATGGTCCCAGTTTACTGTGAATCTCTAGATAAAGCACTGTTTGCATAAAATAGTACCACACAACCAGAACAACCACATCCATCTAGAACAGCCGTCCCAATCAACACTTTACAGAATAAGTAACTTTTTTGTGCAAAAATCCAAGCTTCAAGTTTCTGCTTTTTAACCCTCTGACTTGCTTGCCTTCTAGCCCCGATTTTAAGTGTATTGTTGTGTCAGTATAAACATGTTTCCCGTTTGTTTTTACAGACTGAGGGACATGTTGAATTGACTGCCTGTGGTAACTGACAGCAGATTACACACACGTTGAAAATAACCCACAACATTATAACCCATATTATAACCCTTGTTATGCACCCGACATAAAAAAACAATGTGCCAGTAGGTGGCCCTGTGCCTTATAAACCCAACTGTTCAAATAAACAAACAAAATAATTACTGAGCCATTAGCCGCAGGGTTTTCCGAAATGTAACGATAATAACTCTATTATTTAGACTGATAGTGACAGAAAGACATCCTGAGCCATGCTATTTTAAGGCTGTCGTTTATTGTCAACAGTTCAGTAAATCTCCCGTAACACGGACACACCCCACTATTCCTTCACTCGCTGTGTTATTTTTTTACCACTGGCTTTCTGACAGCAGGGCACAGCAGAGCGCTCAGATAAGGCTGTTGTGCTGCAGGCTCCATTGAGGGCAGAGACAAACAGGCCTCTCTGAGCGGCCGGCCGGGGGAAGGCAATTGTGTGCATGAGGGCACAGCGGGCGGGGTGCTTTGGGTTGAAGTCCAGTCCTGAGGCAGCATTTTCACAACAGCTGGACCGTATTACAAAAACAACTTAAGGACAAGCAAAAAATACAGCCTGAAACTTCTGTACTAAAACTGAAACTTCTATACTAAATGTGTATCAACTATATGTAAAAAATAAATACAATTATTCAAAAGCAAAATGTACATCCTAGTTCAAATAAAAAACTAAAGGAATTTCTATTGGAGTTTATATCATAAAATGGAAACAATCCCAAAGGATCCCAATGGGATCAAAATCAAATTAAATGACCCAGATTTTACATTAGGCTTCAAATGATGATACAACACAGTAACAACATTGTTTATGGCACAAAAGTGAACAAGAAATACAAAAATAATCAAAGAATTGTATTAAATATTATATTATTAAAATTATTTTTTTTAAATTTCACTGTAAGTCAAGATATATTTCACACATTCTGGGTTATATTTATATTTACTGTCCAAGAGCCTTTCAGAACTGACCAGTTTACTAGATTTGATGTGATGAACTCACTGAAACCTGTTTTGGGTCAACAAATATGCATTACGCATTGCATTTATATTAAAAGCAATAACATGCCGCCACTTTTAGTGCTCAAGTTCAAAACATACTGCAGTATAAACAGTGAAGGTTGGTGAAGCACAGCCACGTGATTCCAAAAGGTCATGTGCAGTAATGATTTACAGAAGACAACTATTTAACCAATTGATCATTAACCCATTTAACTAACAGAAATCTTTTCTGAATAAAAAAAAAGAATAATAATTCACCCCAAATTCAACCCAACATCTAGTTTTATTGGTAACACTTTACAATAAGGTTAAAATATTTGACATTATCTATGTAATGTAATTATGAACTAAGAATGAATGACAAATACTTTTTCAACATGTATTAATGTTAATTTCTATAGTATAAACTATCATTCAAAAGTTTGAGGTTGGTAAGATTTTTTTTAATCAATACTTTTATCCAGCAAGGATGCATTCAATTAATCAGAAGTTACAGTAAGGATATATAAGTATTTTAAACAAAATATTTAAATATTGAAAATAGATGCTTTCTTATGAACTTTCTATTCATAAAAGATTCCTGAAAACACTGCTAATAATAAAAAATGTTTCTTGAGCAGCAAATCAGGTAGGGATGCACAATATTATCGGAAATGTTATAGGAAGCGGTGGATAATGGCTTAAAACATAAATATCGGCATCGGCCCCATGAAAAATGATGCCAATATGCCTTGCCGATAAGATGAATAACTCGCATGTGCTCAGGGTGTGATAGTGATAAGAACACGTCATTCTTGAAGTGAACTTTTTCCTGAATGATGATTAGATTCACTGTTTTGGATCGCCACATTTAATCTGAGAATGCAAGTACAGAATGATGCATCCTTTGTGCGATAAGAGTCAGCAGTCACTAGCGCGTGCAGCTAGGTCCAAGGCCCCTCCGGTAAGGCGTTTTATTCACTTAGGGGGCGCTGTTGGCCTACTTGTTATAAAATGAAAGTAAAATACAAAAATTTTGAAATTATGAAAACTTAAATACAAAGAGCTCAAAGATTTTCAGAATTTTTACAACTCGTTTGCTTTAGACCATCTACAAATGTTCAATCTTCAAATAAAATGTTCATGTTACCACTGCATCTGTCTGGAAAAAAAATGCAGTGATTGATTTATAGTTGATTAATAGTTATTTTCAAAGCTTACATTGTACTGTCGTATAAAATAACTTCATTGTTGTTCATTTAATTATAACGAGCAAGTTTTTGTTAAAACTAACCAAAATTAAAATTAATTTGATTATAATATCTGCACAGGAGAGACTTGGTGTTGTTTCCAAACAAAAGGAAATTTATCGCTATTGGCTTAAAAAAAAAAGAGTTCATCTCAGTTCAAATCCGCATATCGGCTATCAGCAAAAATCCAATATCATGCATCCCTAAAATCAGCATATTAGAATGATATCTGAAGGATCATGTGACACTGACTGACTGGAGTAATGACATCACAGGCAGGAATTACATTTTAAAATATATTTTAAAGGGGTCCTATTATGCTCTTTTACAAAGTCTTGATTTTGTTTTTTTGAACTTTCTATTCATCGAAGAATACTTTTTAAAAAATGTATCACTGTCCCTAAAATATATTAGAATGATATCTGAAGGATCATGTGACACTGACTGACTGGAGTAATGACATCACAGGAATAAATTACATTTTAAAATATATTTTAAAGGGGTCCTATTATGCTCTTTTACAAAGTCTTGATTTTGTTTTACATAGTGATAACACTCATTACCAGGTCTCGTCCCATTCGTCGATCTTTGTGATATCACAAATCCCAGAAAATATGTGTTGTAGTCCAAACGAGTCGTTCGTTGTAGTTTTTGAAAAGTTTCTGTTATTTCTGATTCTGTAATTTCTGTTAAATAAAATATCTCCTTTTGAAGTGGACTTTGAGCTTTGTAACTTTGCAGATCTTTTTTATGCTCAAACAGCAACATTACAGACTAACTACAGTTGAAAAAGCATAATAGGACCCCTTTAAAAAATACAGTTCTTTTAAATAGTAATAATATTTCACAATATTACTGTCTGTACTGTTATTTTCTATCAAATAAATGCAGTCTTGGTGAGCATAAGAGACTTCATTAAAAACTTTTTTTTTTATCCTACAGACACCAAACTTTTAGATGATAGTGTATAATATAAATTAACAATACTTAATGTATTATCATCAACAAACATCAATTAACAAAGAACAGCAGTATATCTATAACATTATTGTAGATTAATAAATGCTGTAAAAAGGTTGCTCAATGTTAGTTTATGATACTTCTGCATAACTGATGTTAACCTCATTGTAAAGTGTTATCACCTTATCAAAATTATACTATTCTATTCATTACAAAAAGTCAGGAAAACAGACAGTGGGGTCAAATATGTGCAAAGGAAAGGCTGATATTGCTGGTTGTATTGTACATGGCAGTCGCTCAAGTAGCTCCATGTGTGTGGAATTTAAAGCTTTACGCACATCTGCTGTTTGTGCAGCAGGCTGACAATCTGGGAAATGTCCCTAATCTATCACTCCACACAGACAGTATCCTACAAGAGAAAAATATTACAGTAGAAAGTGCAGCTCAGCCGTCGATAACTGGTTCCAACGCTTGTAGAGCTGAATAGAAGGAAATATTCCCCCCAGTAAGGGAAGAGGAATCAGGAAGGGTAGAAAGCATGTGTCTGTTTGTGTTGGGTGTATAAACAGTCCAAGGAGTGGGATGAGGGGGGTGTTTGGAGGCCTCGGAAAAAGGAAACTATCTGTGGCTCAAAACACCAAACCACAACACTTTCCGACCGACCAATCAGAGAGCTCCAAGCTCAGCACATGCCATATACGGTATGTGCACACAGCATGCTCACTTTGAGAGTCACACGTGGTGCAGAAGAGCAGAGAGGCCGCCAGGGGCAGGCTTTTCCCATCACTATTGCATCTGACTACATTTACAATGAAGCCTGACAGCTTCAAACAACCATCAAAATCAAGCATCATCTTTTGCATGCAAATTCTGATGCTTCAGCATTAATGCAGTAATGCACTTTAGAAACCCATTCAAATCTGACTTTTGCTTAAACTACAGACATAATAATAGGAATATGCAAAACCTATTGTTTTGTTGTCTAATTATTGATAATCTTTTCAATACTGCAGTTTTGCACAGCAAATACAATATTGTGCTGCAAGTTTTTGCTTTTTTTTTTTTTAATTTCTATACCAAAAACTTGAGTTTGCATTTCAGCAACAATACAAGAACAAAATCTACTTTCAAAAAGATCTGCAAAAGAACTGGTTCTCTAATGAAACAATTTTTCTGTGCGTGGTCATTCAGACGAAGTCATACCTAATAGTTCCTGTCGGTGAAGGCAGGGGACTCATCATAGTTCTGAAGTCATTTTCAGGAATGCTGATTTTCAGCGGAGAGATTTGTGGGTAAAGCGGTCTCACAGGGGACACAGGAGCCTCCTTCTTCTGTGTCGCCTTGTGGTACAGCGCCGTAAACTGAATCTTTATCACCGTACTGGGAAATCGAAATGTGCACCTGTAGAGAAGGACACAGACACATTAAGGCATAAAAGTAAATTTGATGAGATCAGTGCAAATATGTGGAAAGCGCTTTTTGTCCATCAAACCTTGCAAACCAGTAAACACACCAACTTTTGACATACCATTTAAAAGTTTGGGGTTGGTAAGATTTTTTATGCTTTTGAAAGAAGTCTCTTATGCTCACCAATACATTGATTAACAATACAGTAAAAACACAGTTTTAAGACGAAAAGGCACTAATGTAAATGTATTGATCCTTGTCAATACTGGCATTCCCACTGCGTTTCAGAAAAGATCACCATCCACACTACACGACCAAAAACGCATGTTGGATGACCATTCATGCACACTGTAGCATCATGCTATATAAGACAATTTATAAGATTTATACTACGCTTTTACTCAAAACTCACTTTAAACCACCACTGCGTGTTTGTAATAACTTCCGATTGTGATCTAATGTGTGTTTTGGCTAGGGATGCACCGATACCGATACTGGTATCGGTATCGGGCCCGATACTGAGCTCTTGTACTCGTACTCGTTAAAATGCCCCGATACCAAACACCGATACCACACAGCATGCGATAAGTGCCGTATTCAGACAAAGAAACACCGACAACAGAACAACAGACAGCAGAATGGTTATTAGAGATTAAGGATGTCTACGAAGTATATGTATGCAATGAATATAATGTTAAAATTCAGTATTAATGCCTGTATAGCTGATGTGTGCGAGCTGATCAGCAAAGCACACTGAGTGGGTTGAACGCGCGGCGGCGCACATGCACAAGCTTGTCGAGTTAATATCCCTTTCTCACAGACATCACTGGAAAGTTTGTAGTTCGGTCGGATACGTCAAAAACAAGTAAAACAATGCACAAGTTACTTAACGGTAG